ACGCCACAATCCCTTCTCCTCCATTCTCCTCTCGGGATCTTGGGCACGCACGCACACGCGCCCGGCGTGAGTTCTAAGCCACCAGGTCAGGAACGCAAACCGCGGTCGACTACGTGGGAGTCCAGCCACATAGCCATTACGCTAACTGCTGGTTCCCTTTCTGGTCAAATTTTAAAAATAGGGACCAGTAGGTGATGTGGTGGTTAAGGTGCTAGACACTCCCACATGGCCATCCACGGTTAAGTCCCAGACCTGGTGGCTTGCTTTCTCCCTTTCTCTCTCAATCTGGTCAAATTAAAAATAAATGAATGAATGAATGAATAAATAAATAATTATAAAAATAACTATTTTTAATTTAAAAATAATAAAAACAATTGGAAATAAATAATTGTTTTTAAAAAGGAGAGCTATGAAGTCAGTGGTTTGAAAAGAATGGGTTATGGGGAATGGAAAAGAGCTGGCCTGAGAAATGAGCAGAATCACTGGGCAGCACGGAAGGCCCGCTTGAGGTTGGAGATGTGTCATAGTGTTGAAATTCTTTTTAAAGCTTTGCACAGTGGCAGTATCGTAGCCAATGAGGTTTACCCGAGGCGCGATTATTGCTAATTGAAATTCTTTTTAGCATCTTGGCTATAAATGGTTGAATATTGATGGATAATTTAACCCAAGACTAGGTTTTTTTCTTGGCATCTGCAGTAAAACCACAAGAGAGGGGCATAAAGAATACAGGCAAAAGGCTGGCTCCATGGCACAGGGGTAAACATTACTCAAGAGAAGCTGGTTCCCACAGGTAGGCTGTGGTTTGAATCTCTGGCCCAGTTAGCAGGAAACATGCCAAGCATGCATGAGAACACTCAAGATCTAATGAACTGGAGGAAACGGATTACCGTGTGACCAGATCTTGTGGAGGATGTTCATATCTCTCTCTCTGTGGCATGCATGCTCTCTACTGTGAATAAAGAGTTTAAAAAGAAATGGAATGTGGAATATAAATTGTATGAATAAGGAAGACCAGATAGAAACAGACCAGAGGGGCAGAGGAATGGGTTACACGTCTTGGTGGAGTGAGAAAAAGTTTGGTGCTAATGAGAGTGAGGACAGGTGTTCTGCTCATAGGTTATTTGGATTTAAGACTACATGTGTGGAGGGGGAAGCAAGAACACAGAATAAAGAACAAGGGAAGAATCCAAATTCTAACATCTTCCATTCTCTACAATGTAATGAAAACTCCAAGAACAGATTATGCCATAAGCTATTGGAAGCCAGCTTTATATCTTCAGTCTAGCAAGACAAATACTCGTTCAGGACACACTATGGTAAAGAAGTCCACACAGACCTCCTCATCTCCTCTGCTCCCATAAACTGACCCCTGGCTAGCTTAGTGGCAATCTCTAGTTTTTCATCATGAACAGAAGGTAAACCAGTTAATTCAAGGAACTCGCATTAAGCTGCCTAGTATACACAAAAACACCGCAAGGTGGTAAGGACAAAAAGATGGATAGATAAATCAGTCTTCCTGTGAGGAGTGAGAAATTAGCAAAGGACTCGGACATTTTTGCACAGCGAGATAACATGCTATAAACAAACCTGGAAGGAGATGTAAGAAAGGTTTTATAGAGAAGCTGACATCTGCACTATTCAATATAAGTTCTCCAGGCAGGTAAGTAGGAAAGGTAAATAGGGTGATTGAGACAGGAGGGATTATATGAGGCTTGCAGGCTTGAGATATGACATTCAAGATTTTAATTTGAATTCAAGATAGGGTTCCAAAAGAGAACTGTGCCCAGAGAAGTAATTAGGATCCAGGTCTGAGAAGCCTCATATGTCAGAAAATGACTTTACCCAAACAATCATGGTCAAATTTTTAGTATCCATCAAAATCAGAACTTGTCTTAATACTTAGAGGGGCCGACAAGTGGCATGGTGGTTAAGGGCACTGGACTCCCACATGGCCGACTGTGATTCCAGTTCCGGACGACTCCCACATGGCTGACTGTGATTCCAGTTCCGGACCTGGCGGCTGGCTTTCTCACTCTCCTTCTCTCTCTCACTCTGTCTCTCTCTGATCAAATTAAAATAAACAAACAAACATAAAGGTATTAAAACATTTAGGAAAAAAAATACTGATTAGATCCCAAATTTAAAAAAGAGAGAGAGACAAACAACAACCAGGCCACAGGTGGCATGGAGGTTAAAGACAGGTAGACCCCACATGGCTGACTATGCAGTTCAAATCCTGGACCTGGTAGCTTGAAAATCATGCCAGGCACATGTGTATGCGTGCCTAAAGTCCCGAGAGGAGAATGGAGGAGAAGGGATTGCAGCGTGGTCATCCCCACCAAGGGATGATTTCTCTTTCTCATTCTGTCTTCTGCTAGTGCACATGCCCTGTAGCAAAAAAAAAAAAAAAAAACAGGTTGGGGCCAGCAGGTGGCATGGTGGTTAAGGCAACTGGATCCCACATGACTCATTGCATGGCTTGAGTCCTGGGCCCAGCTGCTTGGAAAACATGCCAGGCACATGTGCATGCATGATCAAAATCCCAAGAGAATGGAGAAGGGATTGTGTATGTGCAATCCCTTTTCCTCCATTTTCCTCTCGGGACTTTAGGCACGCATACACATGTGCCTGGCATGATTTTCAAGCTGCCAGGTCCAGGATTTGAACTGCATAGCCAGCCACGTGAAATCTACCTATCTTAACATCCAAGCCACCTGTGGCCTGGTTGTTGTCTCTCTTTTTTTTAAATTTGGGATGTAATCAGTATTAAAACAAGTTCTGATTTTGATGTATACTAAACACACACACATACATACGTGGGCCATCAGCAAGGCTGGCACACATGGGAAGTTTCCAGGTTTGTACCCTAACCCTGAACATGCCAGATACACATAGCATCATTAGATCTGGAGCTAGCTGAAGGTGGGGGTGGATCACAGCATGACAGACTATTGGGGGAAAGTGCCCGTCTTTCTCTCTCTCTCTCCCTGTCTCTATACTCACGAACAATGTGAATAATCTGTTTAAAAAATGAATAAATCCTAGGGGCCAGCACGTGGCATAATAGTTAAGGGGCTGGACTTCCACATGGTTGACCACAGTTTGAGTCCTGGGCCCAACAACTTTAGAATCACGTCAGGCATGTGTACGTGCATGCCCCAAATCACAAAATAGAGAAGGATTGTAGCATTGCTACCCCCCCATGGGAGTGACTTCTCACTTTTCTCTTTCTCTAGGTGAGAAAGACAACTGTGCCTTACAGCAGAAAACCTAAAAGAAAAATAAATAAAAATCCTGCCATGGTAGTAAAACATGAGACTTTGCAAGGCTGACCCATGTAGGAATGTTCTGGGTTTGCGTCCAAAGATCTCTCTGAACATGCCAGGCATGTATGTGTCCATGATCCAGGGCTGGCTGATGCTGGGGGTAGGATGCAGCACCAAGACCCTCTTTCTCTATGTCATTCAAGGAAAAAGTAAATAAACTTTAGAAAATCCTTCTGGTGTGAAAGAGTGATCCTAGGGAAGGTGACCAGGAGAGCAGCAAGAAGGCTGTATGGTAATTTACATGAGAGATGATGGAACCTGAGCCAAATATGTGGTAGAGGGGAAGCATTTGATAGATAGTCAAGAAATAAGTGGAGGCCTTGGGGACACTGATATTTGAGAGGGAGGTACTGAAAGAGGCCTACATTTCTGAAATTAGAGATCAGGTGGTATCAATTTCAGATGATTCCAAAGACACTCGAAGTTATTTTTTAAATTACAAAATTCACTGATAATATATATATATATTAAAAAAAAAAAAAACCACAATTCTGCTTCCTGGAACCTTATTTATGTCTGCAGAGAAGGGCTGGGTCAGAATGGGCAATACTCATTGAAGTAGGTAAATGAAGGTGCTTTCGGGCTGGAACCACAGGTGATTTCCCACCGTACTTCTTCCCTGAGAGAGAGCCTTACTCAGCTTCCGACTGGTTGCTCCCAGATGGGCCAAACAGAAGTCAGAAGTCACTTCCCACAGGTCTGATTCTCTGGAGGAACTAACCTAATTGCATATCCTCTTAAAACAGCAGTGGCAGGGGCTGGCAGGAGCCGTGGTGGTTAAGGGTGTTGGACTCCCACATGGCTGACCATGGTTCAAATCATAGACCTGGAGGCTTGCTTTCTCACTCTCTCTCTCTCCCCCCCTCCCTCTCACGTCAAATTTAAATATGTAAATAAAGTTAAATAATAAAATAATTAAAAAAAAAAAAAAAGGCAGTGAGACCAGCAGTTAGTGCAATGGCTATGTCACTGGACTCCCATGTAGTCAACTGCAAGTCCCGGACCTGGTGGCTTAAACTCACACCAGGCGTGGGTGTAGGTGCGCCCAAGATTGCCAGAGGAGAATGGAGGAGAAGGGACTGCAGCATGGCCATCCTCCCTGGAGAGTGATTTCCAGCTTTCTGTTTCTCTGTCCAGCAAGTGCATGTGCCCTATAGCAAAAATCTCTCAAAAAAAAAAAAAAATGATGACAGACCAGAGTGAACTTTTTCAAAATAACTAGAAGCCTGAACACACACAAACACACACACAAATAAAAACAACAACATTGAAAGTTTTTTTCTTTTTTGTTTGTATTTCTGGGAAGAGAAGGTAATCACTTTCATAACCTCAGTCCAATTAACAGCTGTTCATCAGCTTTATATTATCCTCCCCTCCAATACAGTGTGAATTGTTCTCTGGTGTACAATGGGGACAGGAACATAACATGTACTTGGTACATTTGTTCAATCAAACAAATCTTTAAAAACACCAAAGAATACTAAAGGTGAGGCTTATTTTATGGAAGCAGATAAGTCACTGAGGAAGTCATGAGGCAGCACCAAGACTAAAATTCAGGTCACTGTCAGTGTTCATTGAAAATCTACACGCTCCAGGGACCAGCAGTTGGCGTAATGGATATGTTGCTGGACTCCCATGTAGTTGACTACAGTTCAAGTCCCGGACCCGGTGGCTTCAACTCATTCTGGGCACGGGTGTGTACGTGCCCAAGATCCCAAGAGAATGGAGAAGGGATTGTGGTATGGCCATCCCCCCTGGGTATGATTTCTTGCTTTCTGTCTCTGTCTCTCTGTGTCTTTCATGTACCCTATAGGAAAAACCTCTCCAAATAAATAAATTAAAGGAGAAAAAAAATTGAAAATCTACATGCTCTTACAATAGAGGTCTCCTAAGGAAATAGTATCAAAACCTATCACCCCCTAAGCCATGAGCATAAGCAAACCTAGGGAACTGTTGTGTGAGTAGATCTCAAGGATGTCATTAACCTGCTGACTGTGCCACGAAGCCCACAGCCAGTGAATAAGGGCAGGCGTTATTCTGGGGGTTCCAGCACACTGAGGCAAAAGTTGATACCCAAGCGAGGCTCTAGCCTCAGTCAGCACCCAAAGGTTCGTTATCTTCAAATAACTATAGTCCTGTCAAGCTGCCAAGCAGAAAGAGTAAAATAACAGCCACCCTCTCTCTGCCAGCCTCTGCACCAGACTGGACTCAGGCTTGCTTATGTCGACACCGAGCACTCACTGCAGGGGCAGGGAAGCCTCCAGTACAGCTTCGGGAAGAGTTTTAGTTACTTTATTAATTTATTTTAGTTTTTTTCAATAGGGCGCAACTGCTTGCCAGAGACAGAGAGGGAAAGTGAGAAATCATTCCCCCAGTGGGGCGACCACGCGATCCCTTTTCCTCCTGTCTCCTCCGGGATTTGGGGCACACACACCCGGTGTGAGGCTCATGCCCCAGTCCCCCCCAAACCACGAACGGCGGTGAACTATGTGGGGGTCCAGCGCCTTCACCACCACGGCACCTGCTGGCCCCCTTTACGTTAGGCGTTTATTTTGACGCAGGGCTATACAAGACAGGTAAGGGAGGTGAGGTTCAGAAGGCAGGATCCTCGCACGGGGCCACGCACATAGCCTCACTCCCTTCAGGACTGGGGGCCACGAACCGCCTCGGAAGGCTCGGTCTCCGCAGCCGATGGGACCTCCACCGCTGCAGCGGGCAACCGCTGCGGGACGTCCCCTGGGCGCGGACCAGACGTCGCTGGGCGTGTGTGGCGGGCACATTCTCAGGCCTTCCAGGGTGTGAGCCCAGGCGGGCAGCCACGGCCCGACCTCCCAGGCTCCAAATCTTTCCAGGGAGAAACGGGCAGCCCGATGGCGGCTCTTCTGAAGGCTCGTCTGCGACCTGCAGCAAGTCTAAGCTGCAGCCCGCCCCCCAGCAACTAGTCCGCGGAGCGCTCGAGCCGCCGCCGCAGGCGCCCCTAAGCTCCGGGAAGAGCCTTCCGCCGGCCTGAGGTCCCCGCCGGTGAGGGCGGAAGTGGTAAGACTGACGTGTCCCGGGCTGCTCTCCTGATCGCCGGGAGGACCCACCTCCGGAGACGGCCGACCCTCGCTTAGCGGGGTCGCCGGAGCTGGGCCGGACCTCCGGCTGAAGGAAATTCATCAGGGGGCATGTGCCGGGTGCGCTGTCCCCGCGGGGTGGCCGCAGCCGCTGCGACCAGGCACAGCGGCGGACGACCCCGTGGCGGTCGGGCGCCAGGTCCTCTCCAGCTCTCCGCTACCGCGCCGCTCCGGGGGAAACCCCGGCAGGAGCCCAAGGGCAGAAACGGGGCCGCAGAGGCCGCTGGCGCCGCCTTGGCCAGCCCTTCCCGCGCGGTGAGGACCCCGAGGCTGTGGCGGGAAGGGAGCCGAGGTGCGAGGCCGGACGGCGTTGCCATGGAGACGGGGTGGCGCTTAGCGCAGTGGAGGCCCAGGGGAACCCCAGGCTGGGCAGACAAGCGAGCAGAAGCAGAGCCTGCTCCCTGGGATGGAGCCGTGGTGCTGCGAGGGGGGCGGGCAGCCAGTGGGAGGAAGTGGGGCCAGTGGCAGCAATTCCAGGGACGTGACCTAGAGCGTCATGAGTCTATCCCTGGTTCCTGTAACTGCAGGACTTCCCCAAACAGGTTCCGCTGCCTGAAGGATGACAGTCCCAGGGAACCATCGAAGTTGGAGCTGCCAGTGGTTGCCAGTCCTGATACTCCTGCTGGACACAGGTCATGGGCCAGGAGTGGAAGGCGTGACACACTACAAGGCCGGCGACCCTGTCATTCTATATGTCAACAAAGTAGGACCCTACCATAACCCTCAGGAAACTTACCACTACTATCAGCTTCCAGTCTGCTGCCCTGAGAAGATCCGTCACAAAAGCCTTAGCCTGGGCGAAGTGCTGGATGGGGACCGAATGGCAGAGTCTTTGTACGAGATCCACTTTCGTGAGAATGTGGAGAAGAGAATTCTGTGCCACATGCAGCTCAGTTCTGCACAGGTCAGGCCTCCTTTCCAGGACTAAGGTTTATAGTTTTAAGACACTTTCCAGTGTCTTAGGTTTATAGTTCACCGTACCTGTATGGAAGTTACCTGACTTGATTCTAACCACAGAGGAGTTCCCAACTATTACTCCTACGTAGCTGTGTTTCCTTCCACACTGTCTCTTGGCTCTTTCAGACTGGCCCCTTTACTCTCTACTTAACCTTCCCTTAGCAAATCCTAGCCTTCATCCGTAGCCTATTCCAGACCTCCCTTATACCTGGCCTTTCCTTTTCCTAGCCCTAACCCTGTGTAGTTCTTTTTTTGAGAACTTCAACACTGGACTACAGTCTAACCCAGTGGTTCTCAACAGGGACAGCTTTGTCCTTTAGGGACATTTGACAATATCTAGAGACTTTTTTTTGAAGACACGGTCTCCTTGTGATCTTCCTGGCTAGCCTTTCACCTTAGACTATAGGTTCACTCTCCTGCACCCCACCTTTAGGTTGGAGTGGGAGTCAAATCCAGTCCTCCTGTTTTGTCTCAGCCTGCCTGAGTATAACATCATAGCGGCAGGTGTCATCATAGCTGAACCTAGACACATTTCTGATTGTCACAACTGGGGGTACTACTGGCAAATAATGGGAAGAGAAGAGACCAGGGATGGTGTGTCATATACATACGCACAGGTCAGCCCCCCACAACAGGGAATTATCCAGCCCAAATTCCAGTAGTGCTGAGGTTGGGAAACCTGATCTAACCCTGTGCTTGGGGAGGCCTTGTGTGACTGACTCCTTACTCTTTATAGGTGGAGCAGCTGCGCCAGGCCATTGAGGAACTGTACTACTTTGAATTTGTGGTAGATGACTTGCCAATTCGTGGCTTTGTGGGCTACATGGAAGAGAGTGGCTTTCTGCCACACAGCCACAAAATAGGACTCTGGACCCATTTGGATTTCCACCTAGAATTCCATGGAGATCGAATTATATTTGCCAATGTTTCAGTGCGGGACGTCAAGCCCCACAGCTTGGACGGGTTACGACCTGACGAGTTCCTGGGCCTCACCCATACTTACAGTGTCCGCTGGTCTGAGACGGCAGTGGAGCATCGGAGTGACAGGCGCCGTGGTGATGATGGTGGTTTCTTTCCCCGAACACTGGAGATCCATTGGCTGTCCATCATCAACTCCATGGTGCTTGTGTTTTTACTGGTGGGTTTTGTGGCTGTCATTCTAATGCGTGTGCTCCGGAATGATCTGGCTCGGTACAACCTGGATGAGGAAACCACCTCTGGAGGTTCTGGTGATGACTTTGACCAGGGTGACAATGGCTGGAAAATTATCCATACAGATGTCTTCCGCTTCCCTCCATACCGTGGTCTGCTCTGTGCTGTGCTTGGAGTGGGTGCCCAGTTCCTGGCCCTTGGCACTGGTGAGGTGATAAGAATTAATCAGGGATTTCTCTCAAGGGTTAGAACTAGGTATGTAGTATGTTCATTAAACATCTGTGGAGGGCCAGCCCTTAGCCTAGTGGTTAAGGTGGCTGAATCCCACATGGCCAACCATGCGGTTGATTCCCAGACCTGGCAGCTTGAGAAACATGCTGGGTATGTGTATGTACGTGCCCCAAATCCTGAAAGAAAAAACAAAGAAGGGAGTGTGGAGCCACGATTCCCCATGAGTGTTTTCTTGCTCTTGCATGCTCTCTCTTTCTGGTGGATGCATGCCCTTTCTGGCAAACTTGGGGGGAAATAGTCTGGATTTTCTCTTCTATCCAAGGTGGAGGGCAGACCTAAGGGATGGGGTGAATAATTAAAGGATGTGTGTATTATATTGTGGGTTTTCTGGACAAGAATTGGGAGAGATTATTTTGCTGGAGGCCCTGGGTTTGGGGGGAAAAGGGTGCTGATTCCTCTGAAATTACTAGAAGTGGGGTAGGTGAACCTAACATGGGCTTTTCATTGCCACACTGCAGGCATTATTGTCATGGCGTTGCTAGGCATGTTCAATGTGCACCGTCATGGGGCCATTAACTCGGCAGCCATCTTGTTGTACGCCCTGACCTGCTGCATCTCTGGCTACGTGTCCAGCCACTTCTACCGGCAGATTGGAGGCGAGCGTTGGGTGTGGAACATCATTCTCACCACAAGTCTCTTCTCTGGTGAGGACTTTTCTTTCCCTGATGGACTGACCTGAACTAAGAATACATTATAGAACCTGTAATAAAGTCAGAGTAAGGTTTTAAGGGAAGGCATACAGCAAAAGAAACGGAGTTAATGAAAAAACCATCAAAGGACAGGAATATATTTCTTTTAGATAGTTGTACATTATTAAGCCTTTAAAATGTCCTAGGCAGGACCAGCAGGTGGCATGGTGGTTAAAAATGCTGGACTTCCATGTAGCTGACTGTGGTTCAAGTCTCAGACGTGGTAGCTTCCTTTCTTTCTCTGGTCAAATTTTAAAATAATAATAATAATAGGACCAGAAAGTGGCGTGGTGGCTAAGGTACTAGACACTCCCACATGGCCAACCATGGTTCAAGTCCTGGAACTGGTGGCTTGTTTTCTCACTTTCCTTCTTTCTTGCTCTCTGTGTCTCTCTCTGGACAGATTAACATGAAATGAATAAATAAGTAACATTAAATAAATAATATTTTTTAAAAATAACAATAACATAAAGTGAAATAAAAATAATTATTTTTTTTTTTGGAGAGGTTTTTCGCTATAGGGCGTGTGCGCTCACCAGACAGACAGAGAGACAGAAAGTGAGAAATCACCCCCCAGGGGGATGGCCACGCCGCAATCCCTTCTCCTCCGTTCTCCTCTCGGGATCTTGGGCACGCACGCACACGCGCCCGGTGTGAGTTTTAAGCCACCAGGTCCGGGACGCGAACTGCGGTCAACTACGTGGGAGTCCAGTGACATAGCCATTACGCTAACTGCTGGTCCCGAAATAAAAATAATTCTTAAAAAAAAATGTCCTAGGGAAGGTGGTAAGCAGTTGGCGTGCCTTCATCTCATTTACTTCTCATAATAACTGTGTTAAATAAGTACTGTTGTCCCTGTTTCACACGTGAGGAAATTGGACTTCAGGCTGATTAAGTAACTTGCCACTCCTAAAAAGTAGTGGCCAGGTTTCAGACCCAGGCACTTTGATTCTGGAGCCTGTGTTTTTAACCATTACACTAAAATAATACCCTTTATTTTTTGGATAGTCTCTTTTTTTACTTTGGAGGTGAGCCCACTTTAGCCCTTCAAAACAGATTGTCCTTTCAAAGGCAGTAGTAAATGAATTCTGAATCCTTCTTGTTCTAGTCTGATGTCTCATTTATATCCCATCACGTTTATACGAGGGACTTTCATAAAGTTCATGGACAGGGCTGGCAGGTGGTGTGGTGGTTATGGGCAGTGGACTCCCACGTAGCTGACCATGGTTCGAGTCCTGGACCTGGCGGCTTGCTTTCTCTCTCTCTCTCTCTCTGGTCAAATTAAAATAATAAATAAATAAATGTATGTAAATAAAGTAATTCTTTTTTTTTTTTTTTTTTGGAGAGGTTTTTCGCTATAGGGCGTGTGTGCTAACCAGAAAGAGAGAGACAGAGAGACAGAAAGCGAGAAATCACCCCTCAGGGGGGATGGCCACACCGCAATCCCTTCTCCATTCTCCTCTCGGGATCTTGGGCACGCACGCACGTGCATGAGTTTTCAGCCACCGGATCCGGGACGCGAACCACAGTCGACTACGTGGGAGTCCAACGACATAGCCATTACACTAACTGCTGGTCCCAATAAAGTAATTCTTAAAAAAAGAGAAAGTTCGGGACCAGCAGGTGGCATGGTGGTTAAGGCACTGGATACGCCCACATGTCTGACCACTTTCTCACTTTCTCCCTCTCTTGCTCTGTGTCTCTCTGGTCAAATTAAAATAAATGAATGAATAACTTAAAAATAAATAATTCTTTAAAAAATAAGTAAGTTCATGGACAAAAGGAATTAAAGTACAAGTTTATTTTGGTACAAAAAGTTGAAATCCATGCAACTTGAACCATGGTCAGACATGTGGAAGTGTCGAGCGCCTTAACCACCATGCCACCTGCTGGTCCCCAATTATTTAATTTTATTTATTATTATTTTAATATTGTATTTAGCTTTATTTATTTATTTATTTTTAATTTGACCAGAGAGACAGAGAGAGAGAGGGAACGTGAGAAAGCAAGCTGCCAGGTTCGGGACTTGAACCATGGTTGGCCATGTGGGAGTCAAGCACCCTAACCACCACACTACTTGCCAGCCCTACATTATTATTATTAATTTTTATTATTATTATTATTTACTTTGACCAGAGAGAGAGGCAGGGAAAATGAGAAAGTAAGCTGCAAGATCTGGGACATGAACCTCTGTTAGCCATGTGGGACACCTCCAGTGTCTTAACCACCTTGCCACCTGCCGTCCTCTCCTCTATGAAATTTTTGAAGACCATTTGCTTTTGAACCAGGGCTTTATGAAATCAGGACCTTAATCCAAAGGAATGTCTTATGCTAGGAATTATCAATGCCCTGGCAAGACAGGCTCCTGGGGGCAGGTGGATTCATTGGTCAGATCACTGTGTAGCTGCTTCCTTGATCTTTGATGCCTGGATAGGAGTAGTGTTGGTAAGGTAAGGAACAAAGACCAATGTGGTACGAAGGGGCAGAGGTGAAGGCAGTCAATTCAGCACAGACATCCAAAAGCACAGGTGGTGTGTAGAGATGTGCTGACCCTCCCTCTGGGGGCTCATCCCTGCAGTGCCTTTCTTCCTGACATGGAGTGTGGTGAACTCGGTGCATTGGGCCAATGGTTCAACACAGGCTCTGCCAGCCACCACCATCCTGCTGCTTCTGACGGTCTGGCTGCTGGTGGGCTTTCCCCTCACTGTCATTGGAGGCATCTTCGGGAAGAACAACGCTAATGCCTTTGACGCACCTTGTCGCACCAAGAACATCGCACGGGAGATCCCGCCCCAGCCTTGGTACAAGTCTACTCTAATCCACATGACTGTTGGAGGCTTTCTGCCCTTCAGGTATTTTCCTTTTATCCCAAGGCATTAATCTCAGGTTCCTGACCTCTTGCTTTTCAACTTTCTCCTCACCCAGTACCCTAGCCCAACCTCAGTGATAATCCCTTAAAGAGTTCCTCCTGTCCCCAAACAGCTAAATTTGAATCTGTTCAGATATGAGCGTCTCACTTGCAAAGCTCTCCAGAGACACCCCTTCATCATCTTCCCAGTTTCTGACTTTAGGTCTATAGGTATCATGCAGGGCTTAAAGCCCATTTCGTTACTCATTAAATTTGTTTACCTCTTTGTGCCAGGTAGATAATACAGTGGAAAATAAAACAGTCAAGATCCCTGCTCTTAAGTCTGTCCAGGAAGGTGTTCTTAAAATGAGAACAGCTAAATCATAGGCAAAGGAATCCTCTAGAAGCTAGGGTATCGGGCAGAGTGGACTCCTTTTCCACAGTGACTCAGCACCATGGGAGAGGGGGAGCTGGACTTTAATGCCATGTATCGTCTCTTCTCTTACAGTGCCATCTCTGTCGAGCTGTACTACATCTTTGCCACAGTATGGGGACGGGAGCAGTACACTTTGTATGGCATCCTCTTCTTTGTCTTCGCCATCCTGCTGAGCGTAGGAGCTTGCATCTCCATCGCGCTCACCTACTTCCAGTTGTCTGGGGAGGATTACCGCTGGTGGTGGCGATCTGTGCTGAGTGTTGGCTCCACCGGCCTCTTCATCTTCCTCTACTCGGTTTTCTACTACGCCCGGCGCTCCAACATGTCAGGAGCAGTACAGACAGTAGAGTTTTTTGGCTACTCCTTACTCACTGGTTACGTCTTTTTCCTCATGCTGGGCACCATCTCTTTTTTTTCTTCCCTAAAGTTTATCCGTTATATCTATGTTAATCTCAAGATGGACTGAGTTCTGGGTGACAGAACTTGCTCTTCTCTCCCTTTCTTCATGTCCCATTGAACTCTCCTGCCAGCTTCTCTTCTGGCTGAGTGACTGAATTGTGTGATGGCATTGTTGCCTTCCCCTTTGCCCTTTGGGCCGTACATCCCCAGAGAGGGCCTGAAAACTATAAATCTCTATCATATAAGGAGTATATATTTGGACTTTTACGTTGCCTTTAGTCTGGGTCCTGAATTTTCTTTTTACAATTATCAAAATAAAATTTATTAAGAAAAAGGATCCTGTCGTTAGAGGTTTTGGTCTGGATGTAGGAACTCATGCCTGCCGTTGAGGGCACAGTTGCCTGGAAAGCTGAGCTGGCCGCTGAATGCACGGAAGCTCTCCAAAGGAGCCTGGGAACTCTCGGCGGGGGGAACCTATATTGTCAGGGCCCTGTTTCCCGGGCTCCGCCAGCGCTCAACCTAACGGAAGTAGTTGTGCCGCCGCACATTGTAAGAAGCGAGTTGAATCACCATGGCAACCGGGGGCGTGCCGAGCAACGCCTTTTCCGCCGGAAGTGGGTGTCAGAACCTCCACGTGCTGTCCCTCCCCCGTCCGGGTCGGGTAGTGGCGGCCCCGCTTGCTCCCCCGGGACAGCTCTTCGGGGAGCTGCTGCTCCCGGACCCCGAGCGCATCCGTCGGGTACGAGACAAGCGGGACCCAGCCAGGGCGAGCGGGAGGTCGCGGGAAAGGCCTGACTCTGACCCCCAGCCTTCCCCCAGGCCACTGAGCAGCTCCAGATCGCTCTTCGGGATCCTGCCGCCCTGCCCGCGCTCTGCGACCTGCTGGCCTCGGCGGCTGACCCTCAGGTGAGGCTCTGGCTCTCCCTGCCGACCTCCCCATAGTACGCCACCGGTGGAGCCCCAGTTCCCAGCGACCGCCCTCCGCGAGCCCGCCCAGCACCTTTCTGCCGGGACCCTCACATGCCTGCTCCCTCCTATCTAGATCCGCCAGTTCGCGGCCGTATTGACCCGCAGGCGACTGAGCACCCGCTGGCGACGGCTGGATGCGGAGCAGCGGGAGAGGTGGGCTGGGTGGCGAGTGGGATGGGCTGCGGTGGGCTGGGGCGGGGCCAAGATGTGGCTCCTAGGCAAGCCCACACCTGCCACCTGTGTTCCAGCCTCCAGGCCCCGATCCTGACAGCC